TGCAAGGAGAAGGTATAACAATTAAAAGTTTCATTGATGGGAAACTGAAATTTTAGAAATTAGAAGTGCACATTGCTAACGAAGAACAATCAAACKGGCAAAGAAGCAATAATTTGCAAGACAAAGAATGATGAACGAATTGAAGCACCTTGCCGATGGGTTAGAGAACTGCAAAAACAAGGAGAAGTGCCACGATTCGTTAGGAAAAAACACCTTGCCGACGACAATCGTTTGCATCACTGTGCGAAAAGAAAGAACTCCACTAATTGTTTGCATCGTCCATTTTTCTTCGTGGTCAAGGCTTCAAAAGTGTTTTTATTGTGGGACGGTAGATCTGCGATGCATCGGATCAAAAACTAACTGCACCACATCATTCAGTGCCACATCACTCGTGTGTTTCGTGAGACGACTCCTTTCACGGAAGTTGGTGAAAAAACGTTTATCAGTGTTTTTTCAATAAACATTCGTACCAAACAACAATTTCAATGCCAATAAATGTTTATTGTGCCAAATGCTGATATGCGCTGAGGTGGCAACATTTTTTCAATAAATGTAAATGGAACCAAACACCCTCTCTATTTATTTGCTGATGTGTCATTGCCACCACCTCAATAAAATTGAATTGCTAGAAAATCACACCGATGCCAAACACCTAGTAAATTGTCCTAATTTTTTTGGGAAAATTCCTCTGTACTTTGGGCCTAGTGCCACTTTGGTCCCCAAATTTTAAAACGTGATAATTTAGCACCCAAACTTTCAAAAGGTTGATTTAGTATCTATCGTTAACCAAACATTAAATGGCATTTGAGAAAAACACAAATGCCCTCTGAATATCATTTAATTTTCTTTTTTGATCATTCAAATGTTGACAAAAAATTAATAATCCTAAATCCTTGCCTCTATTATTCAAGAAAGTTGGGGTCTAGAATGCACAACGTGATCCCGACTTTCTGACACTGAAAGGGCATTTGTGTCAATGATAGGTATTAACTGTCACATTTTGGGAAAGTGGCACTAGGCCCGAAATACATGATAGTAAATTACTAATCGGAAAATTCCTTTTTTTTTTCTTTTTTGTTATCATTATTATTCAATTTTGTTTTTCAATACTGCGAACAAAGAAAGAATATCTAGGGCATCTTCTCTAACTCTGAGGGTTTCTATTCCCGCCGGTTTTCCGGCTAAATACCAGAGCGTGAAACGCAAATTCAACTCGGTCCAAAGTTATTCAAGGACGATTTCCGTGGGCATTTTTCTTCCATGACAGTATCTCCGGCCGTCTTCTTGGTCTGTTTCGTCGATGGATTATATAAAGCATGATAGTAGTGGTAAGTCGCTTCGTCTTCTCCCCCTTTTTGTATTTCTTTTTTTTTTCCTATTGAATCGAAGAGATTTATACTGGTTTTATATTTGGGAATTGAAGTGCAGTTCAGAGTGGATTCGATCGATCTAATGAAGAGTTGAGATTTTAAACGTTTCTGGTGTTGTAGGGTTTTAGAACATGTATTTAGTTAGATATTTAGGGCTCAGAAGACTAGAGGTTTGGGATTCTTCTGCTGGGTTTAAGTTAGGGTTTTTGAGATGATTTTCTTAGAGATATTTGAATATGGGTATAAATAGATCCGAACAGATAAGACATGTAAGATCAAAGGGTTCAATTATGATGCCGGAACCCAGAAAGACATTAATGCTCTTTCTCTCTCTCATACTTATTCATCAACGTCTTTGTATCGTGGTAACTATCATTTTTATGCGCCTTTTTCTTCAATATTTATGACAGATGAATTTGTTTAGGGAGTCACATGTAAAATCAAGTGTAAAAATGATGAGTTTTGTTTGGGTTAACACATGTAAGACCCAGTTCTTGTTACTTCAGTATTTTGGTTCTATTTGCTCCTATTACAACTTCGTTCCCATTTTTAGTAATATGGCTCGTTTAACTAAGATTTTTTAGGTTTTATTTCTATTTTTTGCCCTTTGGATTTATATGGTGTCTCAGAGAACCCCTTTCCTTTTTTTGGGTTATATCAAGAAACCTAATGTGAGGCTAACATTCTGATACTTCTAACAGGAACTGATGAAGATACTCCACCACAAAATATTAACAGGAATACCTGGAGGACACATTTTTCTGCAAATGTGAAGATCCCATCTGCAACAGTATCTTGTGGAATGGATGCAACAGACATGAAATTACAAATTCATTGTATAGAAACAGAAGCTTATAGTGCCATATTAAAGGCTTTTATTGCCCAATCTGATGTCCTGTCTTGGGTATGGTCTAGCTTTTGGCTCTTGTTATATGCTGGAAGCCWGGAAGTTCTTAGTTATGCTATTTATTAGTTGTAGACCTGAAGTGATAGTCTGGTTTTCATGCATGTAGTGATACATCTACCTTCTTGAAAGCTGTTCCCAATTCATGCTTTTGTCTCTTTTCCCTTTTTCTTTATAGGGTAAAGAAGGGCTTATGACTGAGCTGCGAAAGGAACTTAATGTTTCAGATTTGGAACATAGAGAACTCCTTGTTAAAGTTGATTCAGATGATTCAGTCAGAATGATAAGGTGCTCATATTTATATTTCTGTTTTGTAATATATAGTTATCCTTTTGTTTTTATCTGATCCTTTCATGATGGCCAGTGCTGCATGGGCTCTCTTAAGTGGATGGAGTGTCCATATTGTACACAAGTTTTCCTTTATCTACTCGCTTATTTTATGTAAATGAATAACTAATATACACAATGCCATTTTTTTTCTATAAACTGTTATATACTTATGGACTTTTTTATATGTATATGATTCAAACAAGAGTCCAACTATGGTGCATTTATGAATATTTTCTGTACATTAAATCAAGATTTCAGCCAATCACATTAAAGGCGTCACATAGTCTACTTAATTTTCATTGCTTCATATTTCATATGGTGTAATTACCATTAAGACTTAACATTGTTAAGGATGTTGGCTGTGATGTGTCGTTTTATTACTAGTTTATATTTTTTGCTTCACGGTGCATTTGATGCACCATAGATTTTGCCTACAAACAATCTATTTCCAGTTGATGGTCTAATATTTTACAATTTTTCAGTATTTATAAAAAATACATTTTAAAAATAGTATGAACTATTTTAATAATTTATACTTTTCTATTGACTCATCCATGGGTTCTTGTGTTTTCATTTTGTTGAGTCAGACTCCCAGATAGGCTTTGGGATCTGATCTCCTTTCTGTGTCCATGCAACACTGATTATAGCTTCAGCCCATGGACTGTCTTATTGAACATTTTGTATTGATTCAGGGAATGGCGTAAAGGCACTGCTGCTGACCAGAGGTTGCTCTCTAATAAAATGAATCCTCCTGGTTCAGTTCCTAATGCAGTGGGTCATGCTTCCCAGAAAAGGTTGAAGACTTCTCATTCTGCTGTTTCATCATCTCCAAATTATATATCTCACACTCAGTCTTCAGCAGCAGCTATTCATTCTTCATCGACAGTAAGTGAAAATTTATGTATGAAAGATAGTGCTTTTGTTGAATTTCTAGTGTTTTCACAGGTTGTATTGATGTTTAAACCGGATTGGTGTATCTAAATTGGATCAGTGAATGACCTCCATTTTTTTTATTTTATTATGTGGAGTAATGGACCAAAACAGAAGGTTTTTATTTGACACGGACCAAAATATAATTTATGTATTGATAAGAGAGAGAGAGAGAGAGAGAGAGAGAGAGCACAGAATCTACGAAATCTCCTAGTCGATATTATGCAGTTGCAGTTTCAGATGGATCTGAAGGATTCACAACCATATGGCTGATGGTATAGCAAAACCTGGTTTGGGAAGGGACTTTTTGTATAGTGCAATTATAATTCCTCACTGGTCTTGCTTCTATCTGGTTGTTTGTTGAGGCTTGTACATCCTCTCATGTGCACCCTTCCTCTTTTTGTTTAATACAAGTTATTTTTTTTTTCAAAAAAAACGAAAAGAAAAAGAATCCCATACACCAGGTGGGAAGGGGGGCACAGTTCTAGGAGTGGCTATGCCATAAAATCATGGGTTGTGTTTTATGTCATTGGCTTTTGAATGGAATGCATTTGAATGAAATAATCCTCTGTATTGTTACCTGATGTATTGCACTGACATGGGGATAGAACATGATTGTCCAAATGGTGGCAATTTTCTACTTGGAAATTCAGACCAAAATAATCACATCATTTGTTCCCTAGAACTTGTTATCAGAAAGATGAGCCATCAATTCACTTTATGGAATTTCAATTACATTTTTTGTGCTGGAAAATTATATTTATTACTTATGAAGTACTTTTCTTGTGTTTTGTACTTTTTGGGACTTCAGAATTCCTGTTAAAGGGTTTTCTTGAACTTTTGATTGAATATGGATTTTGCATTAATCATGTTATATTAAAAGTTTAAATTAAATATCCAGAAACATTTCAGAGATGGCCAACGGGATGGTGAAATGGCTTCATTCTCTGCTCAAGTAAATGCTGGACAGTTGATGAAATCTGTTGGCCATAATCGATTGGTACCTGGTATGGGCAAAGGAAGAGCACCTGTCTTTCAGTCGAAGAAGGGTTTCCCACCTCCTGGTGTTGATAATGTTAAGAAAAGATCTGATATAATTGAAATTCGTGCAACAGACAAGCTTATTCGTGAGGTAAGGTAGTGCTTTTCTTTAGTAGTATGGCATTGATATCCTGTACCATTAGGACTTTCCTTTGTGTGGAATTTGTCCTATCTGTTCAGTTGGTGTCAATGTGTGTATTTATGTTTGTGTAGATTCTGTTGTTGGAAAGGTAGTTTCTGCCTCCTTATTTGTTATGCTAAAGATCTTAGCCTCTTATAAATGTTGTATAAAGTGCTTTATCAGGAGAAACTATAGATCAGCTATAAAATTTTTTGGAGGTGTTTATTTGGGATATCATCTTGATACAAAACAAATATGCATGGTATTTGGATGTTTGGTAAATTTTGCTCATGGGTGTGCCAAGTAAGCAGACTGTTGGAAGGTTGTCCTTTGATTAGTTGGTCAGTGTCCAAGAGTTGGTGATTGTAATGTATTGGATTTTATTCTTTCGAGGTTCTTTCCCATTTGTAATTTGGATTTTGTGGATGAAATGAAGATTGAAAAATGTCGATTAAAGTCTATTGATGATCAACTTGCAGATATTGTATATATTTTGCTTTGCTTAATAATATGCATTTTTCTCTGATGCGGATTAATTTTTTGTAGGATTTTGAAATGATGATATGGGTCCACTTATTCTATACATTTTGCTTCGCTTAATAATCCTCCATCAAGCACATGGGATATAATATTAACACTATAAATACACGTGTGAAGCACGCCCATGCATTGCCAAGGGTAGAAAGCAACTGGTATGTTTTCCTGAAGGGAAAAGAAGCCAAGGCTAGCATGAGGTTGCCAAAACCCTGAAATGTTGTTTGCTTAGATCAGGAAAAGTTGAAGTAGAGAACAATGTAAAGGAAGATGAAATGCTCAAGATTGCAGACCGTGCTGAAGCCCCCAGACAGGAAATTTCAACTGTCACTTACCGCAAGTAAATGTACTTTGTTGGTTAACTCTGGAGAGGAAGATTGTATAAACAAGTTGGTGGTGGAAGACAATGACTGGAAAAAAGTTATTGATATGTTGATCAAAGAAGTGAAATTAAAAGACACTTTTTTTCTAATGCCTTTTGATAGGTGCAAAGCCTTGTTAGATCTGCTTGAAAACAAGGTAGGAATTGATGCTTTGAACGTACAAGCTGCAGTTCGGTCTTTCACTATTTTCAGATACTCTCCTTCATCAAATGCATGGAATTTCTTTATTGTGGATGGGATGTTTTGGGCTACCATTCCATCTCTGGAGTTATTAGGTAGCAGTCTCAATCGCAGTTGCTCTTTGGAGCTCGCCTTGATGGAATGTTTTGGGGTGATTTTTGCTCTGTTGTCATCTTATGTACCCAGGAATGTAGTTGTACATGGATGTACGGGATTGGAGGGTCAACTAAGGAATGAAAGTTTCACAAAAAAGGCCAGGCAGGGTTTGGTTATTTCAAAAGCACTGGAGTTGGAAAATTGGAAAGTCAAGAACATGTGCAGCAAGGAAAGAGTCTGGAAGTTATTCATCATAAAAAAGGAAAGAGTTTTGGGTTTCAAGGGGTTTAAGGGACAATGAACTTGTGCTTGTTTCAAACCTTATACTTCTTGGTAATGTCTGTCTGGACCCCACTCAATTGGATAGGAGAATGTGGACCCCCCATCCAAAAGGTTCCTTCTCCTGTACTTGTTTTTTTTTTTTTTTAAAGTCCCTTTATTCTTCTTCTGGTTAGAGGGTAAGGGTTTTTCTGGTAAAGGATGTTTGGAATAGGCCTGTTCCCCCTAAAATTATGGTGTTTTGTTGGTAAGTGTTTTATGGAAAAATCAATACTTTGGACTAGGCCTGTTCCCCCTTTCTGTGTTTGTCTCCTAAGTGGTATATTCTTTGCAAAGCTAATGGTGAGGACTGTTCCCACTTACTAATATCTCTCTTTTTCTGCAACTATTTTTTTTTTTGATCAATACTTTTGCTGCAACTATTTGGAATTGGATTTTTGCTTTGTTTGGGTGTAGGTGGAACCTACCTATAGATGTTTGTTTATTGTTTGATCCATCTTTTTTGTGTGGCCCACTAAAAGAGGGAGGGGTATGTAGGAATGTATTAGAGCAGCTGCCTTCTAGACAATTTGGGAAGAAAGGAATGCAAGATTTTTTCAAGAAAAAAGAAAGAAGCCACTTAATTGTCAAGGACTGCATTTTGACAAGACCAATACATTGGTTGAGAACTAAGGACTACTTCCAATCTTTTTCCTTTGATGATCTCTGGAGGAGTTGGTCATCCAGGAAAGATAGGGTCAACGCAGAATGGGTTCCTTGTCTTGATGGAAGTGTAAAGTTGAATTTTGATGGGAGCAGTCAGGGTAACCTAGGATCCTCTGGAAAAGGAGAGGTCTTAAGAGATAAGGACTGCAACAYCTTAGGTTTCTTCTTTGGTCCAGTGGGTTTGTGAGACTCTAATAGGGCTGAAGTATTAGTGGCCCTACAAGGTATTCAAATTGCAAACCAGCTTGGTGTAGAAAATTTAATAATTGAAGGAGACTCTAAAGTTGTGGGGTTTGGACTTAGTGGTTTGGTGCTATAGGGATCTCTTAAAGAAAAGTGGTTAATAGGAAACAGGAATATTAATTTGCACTGGGTAGGAGGGTAGGCGAACGGTTTGGCTGATTGTCTTGCCAAACAAGGGGTTAATAGGGAAACTCTCTACTGGGCTGCTTTGTAATCTGTTCTCTACTGTTTAAACTGTAATTTTCTTTTAAGGAGAGGTTGCACCTCATGCCTCTCCTCGGGATGCCTGTGATAGTTCTCATATCTTGTTAAAAAAATCATATATCAATTATCAAAAAAAAAGAAAAAGAAATTTCAGGTATTCAGTTTTCAGAAGGATGCTGCCAATTGTCCTATATATGTCTTTGCATATTACTGTAAGCTTTTGTGAGGAGCTTTTAATGGTCATCTGCCATGTGATTTATATGACATGGTTCATGTTCCAGTGGTTTGACTTTGACCATTCTAACCTGCACAGTCTCCTTAATTTGGGTTAGCCGGTGTACCGTGTACCACACTCATTTGTGAATATAGGGTGCAAACATCATTAACGTTCAGTTCAAGATTCTAGATTGAAGAGAGCAACGTGTTGAATATTATGTAGCTTCTATGCTTTTGTGGCACTTATTGAGCTTTTTACTGTAATATATTTTTAGAATTCATTTCTGTAAGTTGTTTCTTTGGATCCTTGTAGATTTCAAAGGCATGTGATTTAGATATTCCTTCTGTTTTAGGTGCAAAAGTGCTTTACTCAAATGCATCTCTTATGACTACTAGTTCAACAAGCATCTTTTAATATAAAAAGCTTTTTAGAATGTTTATTTGTGGTAATCCTTCATTGGTGGAATGATGGGTGATAGCTGATGCTTTACATATACATATATTAAATGAGATTTTTAACATCATACATGTATCAACTATAAGGTCTTAAAGGATGTATCTTTTGTCTAAGGTTGCTTTATTGTCATCCTTTCATCCTTCTATCTAGAGTTATCAGGAACAAATAATACCATTACAGTCTTGAAGGAAACTTGCTGGGTTGCTGAAATGTTCTTATTCCTTGTTTTCTGGGCTTTACACAGTGACTAGCCCTATACATTTTGATTTGTTTATCTGTCTGTGTGTGTGCCTCCTGAAAATTTGATCTCCTGCAGTCTTTAGAAATATTTTCTTTTTTTTTTTAATCTTTCTTAGAAAACACACTCTCTCTCTTATAACTTTTGGGTAAGACCATATTAGAAGCTTAAAAGTGTTTTGTCACCTTTTTATGCTAACTCGAGAGTATAGTGCCATATTTTTGATAGTCAACAAAATATAATGTATCCAAATTTCTTTTTTCCAGAATCCTTAGAAATGGCTTTCTTTTATATTTTTCCCTTTCTTCCTTAATTTGGGGTAATTTCAACTTTGTTTTGATGAATAACTGAAAGGATTTAATTCATATTTAAGAAGTACAGGATTAATGGTACACCCTTAGAGCTAACAACACCAGACTACAAAAAGACAATAACCTACAATACTGCAGTATAATTACATTACTTGGCCCGGATGCATTCTTTCCCTTTTAGCCCCTTGTTTTGGCAACCCATCAGCCATCTCATTAGCAGATTTTGGAATCCAGGAAACAACTGGTCCCACTTCAGACACAATGATATTCAAGGCTTTGGCCAATCTTATCCCATGCAAGATTAACAGCAGTTCTGCCTTAGTTGAGTCCCCAATCCCTATGGGACCTGAGAACATATCCATGATATTACCTTCATCATTTCTGAACACCCCTTCAATTAGGGGTGCTCAACAAAAATAGAAAAATCGAACCAATCCAATTATATGGAACCAAAAAATCTGGTTAACTGAACCGATTAGTATATATTTTTGTATATTGTATGTTTTTAATATATGTATATTATATTATCTATATATTATATATAAATTTATATGCATTATATGTAATGTAAATACATATTATATTTTAATTGTCTATTTAATATAATATACATATTTATATATTATTATTATTTATAATATCATATATTATATATTTATAGCATTTATATTCTACATTTATATATTTTTATAATATATAGAAATAACCTAATCAATCAACTGGTTAACTGATTGGTTTTTTATGGTTTTTCAGAAACTGATGATGCTGGTTTGGTTTCAAAAATAGCTCATGGTTCAGTTAGCCAAACTGTGAGCATCCTTACCTTCAATACCTGCTAATCCCAGGTTTCCTAAATTGCACCAATTGTAAATCAACTTCAAATTGCCTTTGGATGGTGGGTTCTATCTGTTGATGAGAGCTGTTTTAGTTAATGAAGAATCAACTGTAATTGATATATTATCGATGGTTTCCTCAATAGACTTTTCCTTATTGTTGATTGGACGAGAGTTTCTTTCCTCCCCTACCACCAAAATAATAGCTGCTCTTGCACATTTCAATTAGTATCTTACCCTGTCTCTTGGGGTGGACTTAAGTGTGCATTAGAGAAAAGACTTCTTAGGTTTGCAGGAACTGTTCAATTGCACCCAAGCTGTGAGAGAAAATAGTTCCAAATAACATTCACAAATTGGTAGAGATTAGTGAGTTGTGTTGTCCTCATTTGCTCTGCAGAGAAGTTATATATGTGGTGAAGGTACCAAAAAGGGTTTTTTTCCTTTGCAAGTTTTCACACGTATTGATTTGGAGCCAGAGAGGACATCATACCTGATGTTGTACAAAAATTGAGGAAGCAGAGAGGAAATGTCTTTCCATGGTGAAGACATGGTTGCTCTTGGAGTGAGGGCTGCATCCTGTTTGGAGATAATCCATGAATATTTTTTTATTACTGCATTCTACAATCTGTTTGAATCAATATGGAACCTCCACAGCCATTTTCGCAAGAGTGATTTATTCTTTAAAGAGCTCCTACCCATCCCTAAACATTTTTTTTTTCATTCTCACCTGTGTCAATTTATTAAATGATTTCTTTTTGTGTCCCCTAGTTCCCATAGGAAGTCCCTCATTATCTTATATATTCTTTTTGCTACTGGACACGGAGCTTTGAACACAGACAAGACATAACTTAGGGTGAATTTTATTAAAGTTATTTGACCTTCAAGGGAGATGTAGTTTTCTTCCATGCAGCCATTTTCTTAGAGAATTTATCAATGACTAAGTTCCAAAATGATAAAGACTTTTGGTTATCCCTTAGAGGCAAAATTAAGTATTTAATTGGCCACTGATTTACGGGACACCCCAATATTCATACATATCTTCTAACAAAGGTGTCAATGAAGCATACGATGAGTTGTGTGTCTTACTTTTAGAAGACCATTTTTGGATTGGGAGCTTGAAGAATGTACTTTACTACTATGCTATTGCAGAAGCTTGAAGAGAAACTGATACATCCATTGCAGGATTATGTGAGATGGTGGAAAGAATGTTGTAATGAATATTTCATGTAAAACCTTTCTATAATGCAATCATCAAAAATCAGGGGGAGGTCTCAATTATTATGGGGACTTGGGGAATCCTATTCCCCTAGGGCTGAGGTTTTTTCTTGGTTGGTGGCCTTGGACAACATCGTCAGTAGACCCTTTGAACTGAAGTAAGAAGGCTTTAATATGACAAGTCTTTGTTTTATGTTAAATAATGGTGAAGAAGACGTGGGACACCTTTTCACTTCATGCAATGTGACAATATTTTTATGTAGTTCTCTTCCTTATCCAAGGTTCAGATTTATCAACCTTGCAGTTTGGATGAAGCCTTTTCTAACTAGCCTAGAATCCAAGGAAGCAGAAAGGCAAATATTTGTTTGGAGCTGCATCCCATTTACAATTTGTTAGGGAATTTAGGAGAAAGAAAAAGATGGCTCTTTGGAGATGAGAAGGAATAAGGACAGAATGTGTTGATACAGGAAATTTGATTGCCTATTTRGTTTTGTTATTTTCCAGAATTCTCAGGGATTATTGGATTTCATTTTGCCTGGGTTTTTGAGACATTATTGAATTTCAAAGGATTGGGGCAAACTAAGTTATCCTACTTTGTCAATCTTTTGTTGCAACTTTTTTTTGTTGTTTGGGTGCCAGCTTATCACCCTGCTTTTCATTGTAATCTTTCTGCATATTTAATAGTCCAATTTTGGAATTTTTAAGAGCCACACTTGGTTTTGAACTGCTCCATTATGGGCATGAATCAAAGTGTGTAGAAGTCTGTGTGTTTGGGGAATGTAAGGTCCATAATATTAATTTTTTTTGGTGAGTATAAGTTCGATAATATTCTTTTTAAAGAGATTTATGTGGCCATAAGTGCATTATTGATTTCTAAATAATGCAATGTTAGGCTTACTTAGTAGGTGGTAGAATAACCAAATTAATGACCCCAAAATCATGTTAGAGATTTATGTAGATAGGGATTATGGCATCTCTGGTCCTTACGACAGAAAATGAATAGTTCCCTCACCCTTTTGAGCTTAATTCAAAATCTTCATATTGTACTACTGGCTTATTCTTTTCAATATATGTATTGTAAAAAAATATATGCTAAATAGGCAAGTTTTGGTCCCTTGGGGTTAGGTCAAAAGAAGACTGATGGACCTAGGAGCAGTGTTGTAAGACTCCAAGACTCGGCCTGGACCTGATGGTCAAATCGTAAAACCGGGAATGGGTGGCCATTCCCAGTCCTGGTTAAATGACGATATTTAGTGGCTGAATGGGCTAACACTCAGTTAATTGGTAAAACTGGGACTCATGGAACATTCTGGTTTTTAGTCTGGATTGAGTCTTGTAACATTGGTAGGGAGTTTTCTCCTTGGTCTCTCTTTCCAGATTATTTGTTGGCAAGGTTCAAAGTCTCGATACAATATGCCCTGTATTGGGCATATCGTATCATGAGGGTTCTGATACATGTGTTTAAATGTGTTATCAGGAAACCCTTTATTTTATTTATTATATAATATAAAATATACGAAAATGAAATTTTGAAAAGAAGCTAAAAAATAAAGTGCGCATGGTTTAAAGTACCGATACACAATGGGTATCAATACTTTAAACCATGTTTGTTGGGCTAACATTATCCTCCCTTTACTCCCCTCTGCTCCCCTCTTGGATTCTCTCTCACAACAGTCCATTTTTTTTTTCTCTGCTTTCTTCTTTCTTCCTTCCTGCTCTGCTTCTCACATCACTCATCCCTGCCACTTCCACAGAATGGACTGTGTGATTAGGGTGGAGTTAGTAGGTTAGGTTAGTAGTCATCCTAACCCAACATGGATTATTGCCATTCCATAGGGGGAATATCTGGATCATGGGTGGACATATCTCATATGTCTGCCTCTTCTTTTATTTTTAACCTTCTTGCATCGAATAGATAGATGTAGACATGGATATATTACCCATCCTGCATTGAATATTGATTGTTGATTCTGGCAACTTACTGTCCAATGTGAGTGAGCTGTGAGCCCCATAACTCCAATCTTACCCTCTCAATGAATATGTTGGTTCTGCATTTGCTTTTTGTGATGCTTGACATCCAGGAGTTCGGATCTCCTGCCCACGAGAACCCTGTGCACGTCTACCCACAACACACTACCCCCCTCCTGAATTGGGAACATCTCCCCCTGCATAATACTATGCAGAGGATGATGTTCTCCATGTGTGGCTGCAATAAACATGGGCAGGGTTCTCGTGGGCAGGAGATCCGGACTCGGCATCCAGACCTCTGTTTTGTAACTATTTCTTGCTTATACACACACACACACACACACACTCATTAGCATGTTTTCATTTTTGCACTGACCTTTTATGATATTAATTTTTCTTTCATGAAACAGTAATTCTGAATTTGGTTTTCATCAACAATTTCTTTTTGCCTTTTATAAAAATGTCATTATGCATTACTCTGCAATTTAATAATTAATATTGGGCTGTCTACATCTGGCAGGTTGAGAGGGTGATCTATGGAGGGGAAGAATCTGATCCGGTTCAAGTAGAGAAGGCGAAGTTGATCCTCAGAGTAATTTTATTTTCATATCTTGCACCTTTGGTTTTTTTTAACATTTTTTGTGGCCTAGTTTAAGCTTTGGACATAGATTCTCAAAATTGAATTGATTTCAATTATTATTTTTGGTGTAGGAGCACGAAAGAGCCATTGTTGAAGCACTCGATAAACTTGCTGATGTGTCAGATGGTGAGTCATTCTACCTTCCAATTTTTGTTAGCTTGCAATTTTCCTGTAGTCATGTAGCCATGTAGACTTATGCATAGAAGGGGATTTGGTTTGCCAGATGATTCTCCCGATCAGCCACGGCAAAGGTACATCCACAAGGAGATGAAGAGGAATGGACATGGAATGAGCCATCATGCCATCTATGGGCAGGGTAATAGGCTTAATGCCTCCTATTATGGTGAAGGTTTTGGTCAGGAGCGCACTGACAGAGCAGGCATCCCTTGTGTCGATTTACAAGAGGGGACTCCTACCCCTTAATTGTTGTCTTGTGTTGATTTCTCGGGTGCAAGGTGATGTGGCTTGTAGATATGACATGCATACACGTACACTTTGTATCCTAGATCTATGTATGTCCTCATTCATGTAGATTCGGAGTGCATTTCATATAGGCTTTTTATCTTTTATTCTTCTCTTTCTTTACTAACTACTGATAGCTTGGTACATGCCTGGTCAATGCTAATCTGCTTTTTTGATTGCCTTGTCTGTGTCGATGCTAATTTGCTTTTGTAATTTTCTCTTGTTGCATATACGGGCTGTAGATATCAAAATTTCCATTCTTTTCCATTCGAGTTATTTTATCCTGCATATGCACTTGATTACAGGAGGGCTCTATTGCATGATGAGATGGTTAAATGTTGAGCTGATAAGCGTGGGACTGCGTGTTTGAGTCTTAGCCGCCACTTCGTGGCAAAAATGCTTTGAGGTTAGGTCTATGTCCATTCCGCCCCTCTAAAGACTTTGATAGCAAGCGATCGTCATTGGATAATGGCCTTTTATTACATGGCATGAGCAAAGTGCAAGGCTGAAGCTTCCTTAGAACTTGAATCGGGAGTGAGGAAAGGATAGAAGAACAAGGTTCGAAATTTCAATGTGTATCGGATTGTATTGGTCGATATATATTGTAGCGCAAGCCTCTCAATATGCCCTTACAGGGGGTGATTCAGGGTCTCAACCGGTTCAGAGGGTGGATGGACTAGCTCTATCCTTATCGTTAACATCTGGAAATGTTTTTGTCATAATCAATACACACGACATCTTGTGATATTTTTTTAAAATCCAATATTACCCTTTATCCCTCTCCTTTTTCTTCTTTTTCATCGTCCTCCCTCCCTAGTGGTAGTTACAATAAACCCAATATTACCCTTACCTGTTATCTGTCGCACCACTGAATGAGAAAAGCAACAATTAGAGCTTATGTGGTGAGGCAGCATAAATCAGGCAAGGTTCAAAATATCGATACGCCCAATATTGATATGCTTTTTTTCTTTTTTTTTTTATTTTTTTTCAAAATCGAGTCAGGGGGTGGTTTAAGGTTCCTCCACCCCCTGAACCAGTTAGAATCCTGATACATTCTCTATAGGGGCGTATTAGGGAGATCCCGAAACAATATGCATCAGTCGATATGGGTTGATATGTGTCGATATATTGAACTTTAGATTTAGGTGGACATCTGATCTCCCCATTAATATCAGCATCAAGAACTTATGGATAACCTATTTTGACCCTTAGGCTATGTTTAGTTTGAAGGAAAAGGTAGGGAAAGGAAGGGAAAGGTATATAAACCTTTACAAAGCTTGTATAAGTTCCTTACTTTTGTTTTCCTTTTTCTTACATTTTTCTTCATTGTAAGAGACAGTGAACCATTGAATTCATCACTATGGACTCTTAATGGGTCCAACATTTACATTAAATGGTCATTGGGTTCAATCATTTTATTGAGATCCAAGAATTGTGGACAGATGCAAGATTAACCCATCAGGTATTACTCTCAATGGTCTTACACTTAACTTATTAGTCCATAATGATTAATCAATACTCGACAAGAGATGACATCTTCTTTGGATGCAAGGAACAATGTTACTCTCTACTCACATTGATCCTGAGAATTAAAACCTTTTGCAAACATTTTGAAATCATAATATATATAAATATATATTTTGCAAAACAAATTTCAACGGTTGAAATCAGCTACTGGCAATTTAGGTTTCAATCAGAGAGTACATTCCCCGATTATTCACTTTGTTCGACAGAGGGGTTGATCTTGTCACTATGATCACCCACTCAGGTGAATTCTCAGATTGTCCCAACATACTTAGGTTTTGACCCTCTCTAAGGATCTCACTGGTTGGCATATCAAAGATAGCCCAATCCGACACCTGGTGCAGTACCATAATCGAGTTTAGGGGTCAGGTGTAACATTCTCGTTTTGCCCATCTATCTCCAAGGTCTAGGGAAATATTGGAATTTTAGTCTGGTTTAGGGTTTCAAGAAAATCCACACTACATGTACCTCAGGTCTCACCTTAATAGCTGAGACAAACCACCCCAACCAATTTGGCGGCACATCAGTGTCAGCCTTGGTAGGATAAATCTCTAAATCTATTCAATTACTGTGAAGATTCTAAACTAACACGAATCTCATAAGTTTCCAGTTTAAGGGTATTACACAAAAACACACTACAATGACAAATCAATTTTGTACTTTATTCATTTACAATAAATGTCAAAGGGAACATCAATCTGATTAGAGCTAAGGGCATAACTGTCTAACAACTCCCACTTGCACTTAGGTCCAATCGGGTACAAGCTGGAGTCCCATACTTTCCCTGTGTTTCTCAAACTTGCACTTAGGTCCAATCGGGTACAAGCTGGAGTCTCATACTTTTCCCGTGTTTCTCAAACACTTTCTATGTCAGTGGCTTAGTTAATGGGTCTGTTACATTTTCCGCTGATGCTACATTTTAACATCAATCTCCCATAGATGCAATGTTGTCACACATTAGTGGAATGGGTGATGTGCTGAATTTCAAATTCTAGAATAAACACCTTCATTCATTAGACAGTCTCACGACAATGTGCTTAGCTTGGGTTGTGAAATCTGTGGTGGATTTCTGTTTACTGCTTTTCCATCTAACAGCACACGATCCTATCGTGAAGATATAACCAGATGTATACTTTCTATCATCTGGATCCAATTGGAAATTGACATCCTTATATCCCTGGATTTATAGTGAACTACCATCGAATACCAAACAAAACTCTTTTGTCATTCGAAGGTATTTTAGTATGTTTTTCACAACGGTCCAATGCTCCTGCCTTGAGTTAGATTGGTATATGCTTACCATACTCACTGCCTGAGAAATGTCAGGACGAGTGCAAAGCATGACATACATGATGTTCCCTACGGCTGAGGCATAGAGAATCTCTTTCATGCCTTCAATCTCTTCGGAAGTCTTGAGAAACATACACTTGGATAGAGTGACCCCGTGTCTGAAAGGAACATTTCCCTTCTTAGAGTTCTCCATGCTGTATATCTTGACTATTTTGTCAATGTAAGTAGACTGGGATAATCCTATTATCCTCTTCGATCTATCTCTATAGAGTCAAAGACCCAATATGTAGGAGGTTTCTCTAAGATCTTTCATGGAAAATTGTTGTGAAAGCCACAATTTCACCATAGTTAACATTCCTACATCATTCCCAATGAGTAGAATGTCATATACATATAAAACCAAGAACGTAACCTTATCCCCACTGGTTTTCCTATAAACACAGGGCTTATCCAGATTTTGCTCAAAGTCAAATTGTTTGACGGTAGAGTCAAACCGGATGTTCAAATTCCTAGAAGCTTGCTTAAATCCATATATGGATCGGTTGAGTTTATATACCATGTGTTCCTGACCTGCAGCTATGAAACCTTGCGGTTGCTGCATATAGATATCTTCAATAAGATCTTCATTTAGGAACACGGTTTTGACATCCATTTGCCAAATCTCGTAATCATGGTACGTTGCTATAGCTAGCAGGATCCTAGTGGATTTAAGCATGGCCACAGGCGAAAATGTTTCCTCATAATCAATTCCCTTTTTCTAAGTGTACCATTTCGCCACAAGACGAGCCTTGTAGGTTTCAATTTTACCATCGAGGCTCTTCTTCCTCTTATAGATCCATTTATAACCAATTGCCTCTACCCCAGGGGGCGGATCTACTAGAGTCCAGACTCCATTGGTCTCCATTGAGTCTATCTCAACTCTCATGTCATCTATCCACTTCAAGGGATCTATGTCCAACATAGTTTCCAAATAAGTGACGGGATCCTCCTCACTTGTCGTGGCTTTCACCAGGTAACTTTCTTGGTCATAGCCATAACGAACTGGAGGTCTGGAAATCCGGGTAGATCTTCTAGGTTGGTTATTTTCTAAAGCTGGTGGGACATCTCCCACTACCCCTGAGCTCTCCTCATCAAGAATAATTTCCTGATGATGATTATCTAGGATGTAATCTTTTTCTAAGAAGTGAGCATTTATATTGCAAAACACCTTTTGTTTTTTGGATCATAGAATAAGTAACCCACAGAGCCGTAGCCTATAAATAGGCAACGACTGGTCTTGGATTCCAATTTGTCAGCATTAGTTCTTTTAACATGTGATGGAAAACCCAAAATTTTCAATTGTCACACTTGGTTTCTTATCGATCCAAATATCATAGGGTGTCTTCGGAACGGATTTGGTTGGAACCTGGTTCAACACGTATATCATCGGAGTCTCTAATGCGTAACCCCAAAAAGATGTGGGTAGTTTTGAGTGTACGGGAAGTGATCAGACCATATCCAATAAAGTCCGGCTTCTCCTTTCTAACACACCGTTTGATTGTGGTGTAGCAAGATGAGCTAGTTGTGATACTATCCCATTGTCCTTTAAGTAGTCCCTGAATTCGTCAGAGAGATATTCGCCACCTCGATYTGATCGAAGGGYYTTAATTTCTCTCCCTAACTGTTTCTCAACTTCTTGTTTGAATTCTTTGAACTTTTCAAAAGATTCAGACTTATGTCTCATTAAGTACAAGTAACCATACCGTGAGTAGTCATTGGTAAATGTTATAAAATAAACGTGCTCGTACGTGTTCTAACATTCAGGGGATCATATATATCAGTATGTATAAGGTCATGTGTGCCTCTAGATCTTTTAGGCTTACCTGTAAATGGCCGTTTTGTCATTTTACCCTGAAGGCAAGGTTCATAGGTTGAATGATTTTCTACAATTAGAAAATTCAAAGGACCATCCTTTACTAACCTTGTGATACAATTTAGATTAATGTGGCAAAGTCGGTAATGCCATAGGCATATGGGATTAACTGTATCACGAGTCATTTTCTTGGGGATTATCTCTGACATAGTTTCGGTATTGTTTGTTTCAGAGAAGGATGGAGAACATAGAGATCGTGCTTAAGTTCTCCGTATGCGAGTAATTTGTTATTCCGTTTGATAGCAATCACATTACTGAATAAGATAGAATAACTATCTATGCACAATTTTGAGATAGAAATCAAATTTCTTTTTAAATTAGGTACGAAAAGACAATCTTTAAGTACAATTGTTCATTCTCTGAAAAGTAGATTACAGTTCTTATGGCTGTAGCTGCAACTGTTGCAGAAGTCCCCAAGTAGAGCATCACTTCTTCATCACTCAGTCTTCTGCTTATCTTGAACCCCTACAGTGAGTTACACGCATGAGTTGAACTCCTAGATTCAATACACTAGGAAGTAGAAGTGACCAACAAATTGG